ATGACCCCTTACCCCTATTTACTTTCAACTACGAGTTGGAAAATCATTTATATGAAACTAATTATCTATAGTTTATAGAAATCATACTATTTATTAACAATAGTTTAAAAGTTGGTGAAGTCATGAACATTGATTCCAAAACACTGGATTCGCACATGTCATGCATCTTTATTGATTATTTATTTATTTGTTATATAATCATATTTAATATATTTGAAACCTACTATGGATGAAGGTGTCACGTTCCACACTTCCACTTCCAATGTACGTAGTTGTCTTAATGGGAACATACATTTAGCTCTTTCTGAGTCTTGCTAATTGCTTTGCAACATTAATTATAAGACTTATTATTTCATGTGTTTTTCTTATTCTTTTACATGTCTTTTTAGATTAACTAGAAATTAAAGGTTGATGACGTTGGAAATATGGTTTTGTTGATCGTAAAATTTGACAGGATTCAATAGTCAACATATAATAATTTTATTCTCATCTATGTGTATATTATCTACACATTTGAATAACGACCTTAGACTACATGTGACCATAGCTCCGAAGGGTGCAACAGTGACGAGTACTTTGACGCTCAAGTTAGACGACAAAGATCGTATTTGGATGTGGAAGAGATTCAATGGATGAAAGTACGATTGTCGGGTTAAAAAAAGAATTACCAAATATATTATTACCTTTGGATATCACTATGTGTAAATATTTTTATAACCAAGAGAGATATGAGTCAAAGTCCATTGGATGCTTGACGTGTGGTCTCATCCCAACAACTCACTGGACAAGCTCCATCCTATCAATTCCTAGCCGTCTTAGGCATGTGTATCTATAGCTTGAAAATAGACTGAAAAGTTGTTTGACCAAGCGACGTCATTGAAAAACTATCACATCAATCAATCAATCAAAGTATAATGTGTGAGTAACTTAATTGAGGGGAAGCTTGTGGAAGAGGTGCATCTCAAAAGATGCCCTTACATTGGCATCATACCGCATGAAAGGTAACGAGTTATTTTGGATAACAACGTTTAGGACGAGGCATCCAATGGTATGCTCTAATCGCCTCTATGGGCACATGTGGAAGAAGCAATGTCAAAGCAGAGTGTTGACCTTAACAATGGTGTCCAATTCACCTTCTAATCTACTAGTCACTACCTTAAATGCTGCACCCAAGTCTGCCATCGTCTAACTTCTTCAAATGTTCATCCATCACTTTAGCTCACGTATCCATAATTTCAATACCCTAGTAACATGCTTTCTCTGATACCAATTTGTGACGAGCTAGACTTTGCTTCGCAACCTTAAGCTTTCAACAGGTAAACTATGGAATTCCTTCAGCCGAACAAGTTGAAATTGTAACCAAATAATAGGGAAATAAGAATGAAGAGGGAATAAACAATAAAACAAGAAGAATAAGGGAAGATGAAGCTGTAGATTCCCTCAACAATAAAACAGAATTTGCAAAATTCACAGATAGCATTTTCCTAGAAGAATTGATTCCCAATTCTTACAACAGCGTTTATAGACTTTTAATGTCCAAAAATATTTCATTTCATAATATTTTCATATTCCAAGAGCAAGTTTTGCCAAGCTTAAAAATTTACATCAGTTCTAAATTAGTATTTTTTATTCATTAAAGTTGAAATTAATAATCAACTTTTTGAACATTTAGAGTCCGTTTGGTGCACATTTTTTAGATGAAAATGCATTTTAAACATCATATTGCGGGTCCCCCATTAGAGTGTAGAAGTCAAAAATTGTGTGTTGATGTGACGGAAAAAATGGATTTTGACTCCAAAATGAGTACCAAACAGGGGCTTAGTCCCTATTTGGCTCTATCTTATAAAATTTATTTTATCATAAACTTATTTTTAACTATACATTTTATAAAATCTACAATTTTTATCAACTTTCCAATCATAGATATGCTCTCATTTTTTTTGTCAAAATTTACTAAAAATCTTATTTTTAATAAAATCAAATATGGACTTAATGATGTTCAGGGAATAAATTATAATTTAAAAGTAATTTTTACTAAAGAAATTAAAATAACACACCAAAATATGTGTGTGTGTACTCTCTATTAAAAAGAAGTTTTTGGATTACTGTTCATTTTTGTCACACGAGCTTTCACATTTAACTGGCTTGATACTTTTCATGAAATGGTTTGATAATGTTCATAAATCCCTCTCTCTCTCTCTCCCCACACACATTATCCTTGAAGACTCCACTCTACTCCTTTACTGCCCCTTCGTGGCAACCACATCCCTGAAGCCTAAGCCTAAATGGCCTTAATGCTCCCCCGAGCTAAGACTCATATGAATCTTGCACCAAAATCTCCCATATACGCTTCTGGAATAATTTTTAAATCCAAATTTTTGTAGGCCCATAACTTTAGTTGCCTATAGAAGTCGGCATTTTTTGAAGATTCTAATGAGTTCTGTGTAGTGAACGAAACTCTAGCGAGAAAAGATAATCATTCCAGTCCGTTGCTTTACTTGTACATATATAAAATGATGCAATAAACAATATCATTGTGGTCCTAAACAGTAAATGCAACCGCCCCCTTCATTGGCTTGCTATCAGTTGTTCACGCATGTTTAGTCCAGTTAATTTGTCCCACTTGTCAACTACCCATTTGTTTTAATTTCGTGGTCATGCTTGAATGCTTCAGTCGGAGTAAATTACAAAAGTTCAATTCAAGGCCTCATTCTGAACCTTGTCTTATCCGAAGGGAGACTACGGGTCCCTACGGTGCAACCCCGCTTAGATCGGAAGCCATCCCAACATGTGACAACTAGTACAAACAGAGATGACTTTTTATTCCTACTATCTATGGCGATAACATCCTTAGATTTAAATTGCAAGCCAAACTCCTTCTGATGCCTTTCCGAATTTCAACGCAACTAGCGCTTATTCACCTTTGTCTAGGGCATAGAAAGAATTTTTGGACCTATAAAAAGTGGAATTTGTGTTTGTGGAAATTATCGAGTAGAAAAGTTCAAGTCAATTATAAATTAGAATGGAAAATATTTATATATTGGTCATCTCTTACATTTATTTTTCTATTGACAAATATGAATTATTGGTCCCAAATTTGTTGTTGAGTAGTAAGTTCATCATCAACTTTACCTAAATGTTGTACTATCAACTTTCAACAAGACTAGCCAAAAGTTTTGTAAATAGTCACGCAATTCTTACATTTCCACAAGTCGATTCAAAAAATAATGTACAATTGAGTAGAGTCATTTATATCCATTATTGTTATCGCTGACGCATGTGGCAATCGTGTCACTACAATATCGTTTTATATAGTAGGGACATACTTTTGTTAATTTGATATCGCGACAATGAATTTCGCTCACTTCCCCAACATTATAAAAACACGTGTTTGACTTTAATAATGCTAAATAACAAGTTTTCAACGATATAAATCAGTCAAATGTCAGTCAGACAATTTTTTGTATATAGCTCTTATATGTCCAATTTTGTAAAGCTAAATTTGTTTTTGAACTTCCACTTGTACATAAAAAATGAATGAACCGAGATATGTTTTCATCACGGATAAATGGTTATTTAACAAATATTTGTATGTTTCAAGTCATTGGGGATCGAGTGTACAATTAAAATAAAAATTGAGGACGAACTTGTTATATGGATAGTAACTTGTGGAATAATGATCCAATTCTCTTTCTTTTAAATAATTTTTTTTTTTTAACATAATTCCATTGCACGCGTTACATTCTTTATTAATATATTGTCTTATTCCATTTAATATTACAAATAAGTTCAATATTTTATTTAAGTCAAAAACGACCACATCAATTATTGATTATTATTCATTAGTTGTAAAGTAGAAAAATTAATTGTACACACATGGGCTATGGTTGTATAGACATATTCATGTTACAAGGTCTTTTTGCCCCCTCAAGAGCCAAACTCGAGTCATTAAATAGTAAGACATTATAAACATGTAGATTATTTGATAAAAAAAAATACATTAAATATTAGGACAAATTTCATCAAATTCACTATTTGCGGTATTTTGAATGGTCAATTTTATCTTTCTCTTTACGATTTATAATCTCACAAAAACTGAAATGATTAGTTAATTTCATGTTACAATGTATGTATTCTTTAAAATCCAAAGTTCCATAAAAGGGTTTAACGTGACTTTTCAATATAAACGTGTAAGAGTATACTTGTGTGTGATTCGCACGATTTAATTATAACTAAGATATATAATTTATTAACTTATACATATAAAAAGTACTATCATTTCTCATTAGTATGATCCATTCTAGGAGTGGGCAAAAGCCAAGATCATTATAATAAAACTAGACGGTTTGTTCAGTTCTATTTCATGTTTCAAATGATTTTGATTCGTACCCAAGAATCGATCAGTTTCAATTCTAATTTTAGAGCAAGAATTGAATCTGAACAATTAGAATTGTTTCAATTTTTATTTAATTTTTAAGTGATTTTTAAAAAAAAATATTTTCACATTATCTAATGATATAATTAACCTTTTTTTTTAATTTTTTTTTTCAGTAAACTGAACTTCTTTTTTCAAAAGTTTGGTTTCAGAACCAAACCAAACTTGAACCAGTTCTGGTACATATTCTATTTCAATACTATAAATGGATCCAAATGATTCAATTATTAAGGAATCATGAATTTTCAGTTCGGGTTTCTCATGGAATATGAATCGAATCGAATCGAATCATGCCCATAACTAATTAATTAACTCATTTGATAGAGTTTCAAAGTATTGAGACTTCAGCAAATGGAGGAAATAGAGAATAAAAACAAAGAACAATGCTTCCTAATTCAGATTTCTCGATACTGAGAGCAATCATATCCAAAATCCCAAAAAAATAAATTTAAAAAAAAAATCCTATTAGTATACACATATCTTCATTAATCTAACAAATGGGCCCCACTTTTCAGTTTCTTGCACGTTAATTATGCCAAGACCAGGAAAAAAAAAAAAACCACAATTCTGTACAATTTATTTATTTATTTAAAAAAGAGTTTACAAAAATTTACAGAATTCAAATCCAAAAAATTAATACGAATAGGCCACCCTCTGAAGCACTCTTTCTTTAAGAATTCCATTGTATAGTGCCACTCTATTCGCTGGCATTTCTTTCAGTTTCCCATTTGCCTTTGAATTTGAATCCAAATTAACTTTTGCACAATTATTACTGTGTAATCTTCTGTACTCATCACTGTTCCCGATTGGGTCCACCACATCTTCTGCAAAATGCACTCTCTTCTTCTTCTTCTTCTTTTTCTCCTTCTTCTTCCGTTCTGCACATGCAAGTGCATGCATAAAAGTACTGTCGAGTCTTACCTAATACTGCGTAAAAGGGGAAAAAAAACATGTGCATACCTGATGAGAGGCAAGATCGAAGAGATTCCGAAAACTCGGAAGTCGATTGGGATTTTTGGAGTCGAAGAGCAAGAAGAATGAAAGAGCCAGAAACAGCCATGGCTGTGGCCAAAACCATGCCTTGAGAGGTCAAGATTGAAGTCATTTTTTTTTTTTCTGTTGATCAGACAATGATACAGAAGAAAGAAAGAAAGAAAGAGTTTACTTTATGCTGAAATGAGAGGAGAAAAATGGTCACTTTTATGGGGGGTTCGGTAGGTAGGGACAAGTTAAATAATACATTTAGTGTAGATGAATGAAATAAGTAATTGGGCATCAAATGGCATTACTTTTTTGAATAAAGCTATTTGTATGTATAGAATACATAAAGCATTACGAATAATGAGGTGACAATATTATATTGACTGATTTAACTTTGTTATATGTTCAATATTCAATGAATGCTTGCCAGTTGTAAAAAAATTCACTACATATAGCATTTTTTTTTTTAATTTCCAAGTAGAAAAGAAATGGGAGTTTTTTAATTACCAAGTAGAAAAGAAATGGGAGAGCATTATTTGGTAGAAGGTGGGGTCCTGGCGTGGGTTGGATGTTTTAAATAGGAATGATCTCCTAATTTTTGCTCGTGTACCGCACGGCAATAAAGATTTATTGGGTGATGTCATTAGCATCTTCAAGAGTATTACAAAGACTACATTAGAATAATGATAGATAGTACTACTGATACTATAATATCGATGTAGATGATTTTAATGTGATATTAATTTCGAGGTACAATTAAATGAATTATTTAATTATATATTTTATTGATCTTATATTATATAACGCTATCTAAATTGGTGATTTAGTACCAATGATGTTAGATTACATTATTTTTAATTATTAAGCAATTAACAAGGTATATATCACATCTTGCTTCAGCGGATTCACGTAGGTGCAAATTTTTATTTTTATTTTTTCGTTTTCTTTAGTTTGAGTAGGGTTGGTAATAGACGTAGCTTAGCCACAAGCCAAGTACAAACCATCTCGCCGGCCAATGGTGAAGCTCTCAACTTGCGAGCCATATGGCCCCTTAAAAATATTTTTGTTTCAAAAGCTGATTTTTTTTAATTTTTAATTTTATTTTTAGGGTTTGAAAAATGTCCAAAGAATTTGTGCAGAGCTATCTGATGCTATTCGTTTAGGATTATGCTAGTTTGACAGAAGAATCCGATCAGTTGCAGTGACAAAAGATGATGTTGTGGGAGGTGATTGAATGGGACAATTGACTATATTTAAAGTAGTCTAATGATAAAAATGTCATGTGACATTATGTTAATCATTATATTAAACTTTCTGTTCTTGTAGCATGATTGATTTGTTTAATAGAAACTAGTTTCTTTTCGAAGTCAAATTGTAATCAAATCATCTGAATAAACTGCTACTAAATGAATGTCCAAAGAATTTGTGCAATGTTATTACTACGTTCATCTGATGCTATGTGTTTACCAGAAACTAGTTTCTTTTCAAAGTCAAATCGTAATCATCTGGATAAACTGTTACTAAATAAATGTACCGACTAACATCCAAAGAGAAAGCTGAATCAAATGCCAACAAAACATTACTTGCATAGTTTTTCAAGAAAAACTTTAACCATTTCATTTTGTAAAAGTAATACGAAAACTTGCTCTTTTGTGGGGTCTTTATAACAATCTACACAATAAATTATTATTGATGTTTTACGATCCATTATGTAAAATAAGAAAATACACAAAAAAATATATGATTAAAGAGTAAAAACTTTTTCTAAGTGGTGCATGTAGAATAATAAACGGATTACAAATACATAACAAGTTGTATCAATGTTATTGAAAGAATTCAAAAGATTAATGAATATTGGTAGCGAAAGTAGAAAAGATTTGAAATTTTAGAAGTGAAATTGTAGTATTTCTAGATGAAATTTGTGAAGATGATCTTTGTGAAAAAATAAAATAAATTCAAATCAAAACTCAATCAGAGTTGAATTTGATCCATTAAATCAGCAACTCTAAAAGCAACTACCCTGGACGATCGTTTTGGTTTGGCTTGCTCTTGCACTCGTCTAGAAGCGCGTCTCGCGATAATTCCCTAAAAGTATTTTTAAAATATTCATTTAACTTTCTAACACGAGCGTAGAAAGCCTAATCTAGCAATTCATAGGATTAACCCTATTGAATTCTAATCTTGACCCCAAATGTCAAGGGTTAGGCCAATCAAGAATATAGCATATAATGGACTGGTTCTTCCGATTTTTGAAGAATCGAGAGATGGCGATTTTGACTCAGGACTTGAAAGTGATTTTGTGAAAATCATTATTATTAATTTTTTGCGTTTTTCATTTTTTTTTTTATTGTTCAAGACATGGAAGTAGATATTGACTTGCATTATTATCGGAAAATGAAATTTACTTTTGTTTGTAAATTGTTCTTCCAACCCTTTGTTCCTCAATCTAGGACAATCAAATACGAGCTAAACATATTTAAAAAATATTCCATGTTACTAATTATTGTCCGAAGAGACACACATGAAAAAAAAGAAAAATCGATCGCATAAAGTCGTAAAGATATACAATGCGACCATCAACAATCTCGCTTTCAAAATACTGAGATGAAAACAAAGCGTCATACTTATTTTATATGCACAACGCAATCTCATTAAGTGGTGAGAATCGAAGGATAATATCCCGCTACAGTACCAAGAACTCGAGCCTTGGTGTCCGGGAAGTTCTCCGTCCCCGGCAGCTCGCTCACCTTTCCTTCGGAGTCGACTCCGATCGGATAAGTCATCAGATGGCCAGGCATGTCTCGTTCTACCGTTTCACGCGTAAAAAGATCCCAGTTATTTTCAGCTATTTTATTTACCTTAGCGATGCATTCCAAATTCTGTGGATGACAGAAAGTGTTATCAAGCATGCCTAAATGTTCATACCAAAGTGACATTCTGAAGCCATGAATTTGTCCCCTTGCTGGCTGCCTTTTAGATAGATGATATGGTTGAAAAGCTCCCATGGCAATTTCTGAATCCCTAGCTCCATCCATTGACCTCTGATTTATATTTGCAGATCCTATGATTATGTATTCATCATCCACTGCAAAATGAAATTCATTATACATATTTAGAATTTCTTGACAGTTGATAAATTTGATCTTGAAAAGGAAAAATATGTGCAAGCTAGTAACATAAGAAAACAAGCCTATTATATCGGAACCATGTCCTATTTTTAGATTCACATCATTTCATAAAGATTGATGCTATCTGTCATCGGTATCATCGTTCTGGGTGACACTAGACCTCTTAATTCATTGTCCAATGAATTAAATTCTATCAGTACTCTATTGAACAATGAATAAGTGGAACCGGTGTTGCCACCTGACTAATGATAAATCGCATTATTCTTTCATAAATTGGTGATGGTGTGATTATTGAACACCGTTTAGTAACATACTGAACTACTACATTAATATATGCAAGTTGTTGAACGACTATGAAAGCAAGATGCGAAAAACAAATACGTTACCGATCATCATCTTGGCATGAACATAGATCATTCCTCTCCTATTTTCTTGAGCTCTACTGTAATCTGTATCAGAATCTGGCTTTTCTGAAGGTTCATATTCCCCAGGCTTTTTTATTTCCCTATTACCAAGGCAAAAGAATGTCAAATAATCTTTAGGGTTTGCCACAATTCCTTTTGCTTTAAGTGCTTGTACTATATCAGTGTACATCATTTCCATAGTTCTCTTTTGCCAATCCAATATAGCCTGCACTGATGAAGTCTCTGGGTATCCCTCTGGCCACATTGGAAGCACAATGTACACTGTAAATCTCTCTCCAGCTTCAATTTTACTCACAATCTTTAAAGAAAGTTCCTTTGGAATTAGGTGCAATGCACCAACATCTTCGTCTTTGATATCAGTCGAATACCATGAGAAAGAGCTTCCAAGAAAGTACTGATTTTCGATGTAGATAAAATTCTTTGCTCGGCGAATGGCGTAGATATAAGCATCTTGAATGCTTCTGTCGATGATGTTATCCTTCCCGCTTACTAGGCCGGATCGTGCTGCATTCTCCGGTTCTTCGGGGAAGCCAAATGCTGCTCCACCATCAATTGATCGAAATACCTGAATATCGGTAAAAGAAAAAACATTGTTACCAAAGACAAACTCAAGGTAAGTAAAGTTCGGTGACTAACGTAAAACTCGCTGTACCTGAACATTCCACGTCTCGTGGTCGTCCGGATACATAACCGGAGAAGGTGGAATTAAAATCTTTTGAAGTTCGTGTAGTTCCAAAAGCAAATCCTTCCCGCCTTGTTTCCTCCATCTCTGCTCGAAATTGAACAACACGTCCCAAGCAGCCGGCCCTTCCAATCGACAGTGAATGTCGTGCCAGGGCTCCCTTGGACCGCCTCTGTTAATTGTAGCACCCCTAAAATTAGCCTGATGAAAATCATCATGATGGGCTGTGTCCAAAGTCCTAAAAAGGGAATGAAATTGTGTATCATATCTCCCATCACAAAGATCAATTCCCCCTACAAAACTCACAATCCTCCTCCTATCTGCATTCCCATTAGGCATTTCACTATCCACAACAACAATTTTCTGGTGATGCGTAAACATGGTACCGATTTCTATGTCCTGGATTATGCTCCGTCCATCGTCTGGATTGCGTGGACATAGCACGCAATGAACTTCAGTTCCACGAAAGTAATTCCCCGTGTCTTCATCGTGTGTAGCCATTAATCCGTCCTTCTTAAGTATATTTACCGAGGTTCTATCGTCCCAAACCAGAAGCAAAACCCGAACACCTTCATTCGCCTTTTTCTTAAGTAGTTCTCCAAGAGTAACATCCCCTCCTGGTTTAGGCCTCCTTGTATCCCTCACCAAGGTTATTTCTGTATAAACTGACCAACCCGTTATGTAAATCAAATATTTCGCATTAGAGATTGCATCGAAAATGTCTTCCCAACACCGGTGTGGTTCGTAAAACTTTCCACCGGCGAGAGGTATTTTCGGTACGAAATGATCTGGGACATGTGCATCCTGATAAAGAGTAACTCTACATCCATTTCTTTGAGCAAAGAATGTGAAAGGAACACCGGGATATTTCGGACTTTTAACACCTCGACCCCAACAACATTCTCTAGTAACCTCAAAGAACTGCAACTTAATATGAATTTTGGAATGTCCATGGATAGGTTTATGATGTTCATTAAGGATATCGAGCCATGTATCAATTTCTTCACCAGGAAGTAGATTTATAACAGGCATGGAGGCTCTTCCAACCAGTTCTGCCCCAATTGGATTGTCGATTTTTACAGTGAATACAACTTCTGAAGCCATGTGAGCGCAGTAAATGTGAAATTGCTCGAACCAGCGTGGGTTTGAGTCATGTTCAAGCAACCTCGTTCGACCAACTCGAGCTTTTCCTATATCAACTGTTGCATATAATTCTGAAGCAGTTTTCCTAAAACCCACTACTTCCTCGATGCCTTCCAACACCTTAGCAAAATAAGTAACTAAATTTTTAGTAAAACAAAGAGAAGGGATGAACATCGTATTCAATTGGGGGATTACTTAAGGTAGATCACGGGGTAGTTATATTATGGCGTTTGGTGCTATACCGTATTAGAAGAACATATAACTACTAAAAGAATTAAGGATTTTTAAGAGTTTTGGAGAAAATGATTTTCAAACAATCTGCACCAAACAGGGACTTAGTACATTTGACTCCTTTTCTAAAAATATTGTTCCGAATCAAGATCTACTTCTTGCTAGGATTTCTTCCTTGAAGGCATTCACTGTTTATTAATGAAATGTATATCAACATATAAGGTTTCAACTACTTTTATTAATAAGATTGATCTTTTAAAATGAAATTCAAACCCTAATATGATATCAAAATCATATTAGGCTTTAATAGACAACTCGATGTAATTTAAGACTCTAAACAAAGTTGACATTTTAAAATGTAACCAATTCATAAGGAGATAAAACTCGAATGGTCGAAAATAATCAACACTGGTGACAAATCATATGATGCCCCATTCTTTGTATGTCAACATCACTAATTTTAATTTCTTTAACTATGGTAGAGACGTAAAATAAGTTTGATGCAGGAACTAAAGTCCAAGATGCAATAAATAATCAAATTTAAATTACTTTAACAAAGTTGACATTTTAAAATGTAACCAATTCATAAGGAGATAAAACTCGAATGGTCGAAAATAATCAACACTGGTGACAAATCATATGATGCCCCATTCTTTGTATGTCAACATCACTAATTTTAATTTCTTTAACTATGGTAGAGACGTAAAATAAGTTTGATGCAGGAACTAAAGTCCAAGATGCAATAAATAATCAAATTTAAATTACTTTGACGGACCACTTGCACTAAACAAATTAAAGCTTGGAATATTCTACAATCGGTAGCAAGCAAGTTGGTTGCACACCATTCAATTTTCATTAAGCCCCGTTTGGTCCTCATTATTTAATGTTATAATTTTGGGAATAGTATTTGTTTGGAAAATATATAATTAAAAAAGAAGGAATTTTTTATTTATTTATGTGTAATATTATTTTATTGAAAAATATGTGATTAAAAAAATAGAAAGAAAAATATATTATAATTTTAATGGGACTCAAACGGAGGCTAAATGACACACAGCCAATGTGAAAATAATCTTCCCTTCAAAATTTTAAATCGCAATTCAAGTTAAAGAACAATGAGTTTCACAAAGTTGGACACGTGAAGGTTACGTGGCTATTTAACGGAGTTTATACAATTTCTACATGTAGTACAAATTGTACAATTATAATCAAAAGTTTAAAATCGACTTGCTTTTTCTAGATGTTAAAAATAAATTTATTATATTAATAAATTACACCCTTGTTTGAACTACATTATTTTTATAAAAATACATTTTTGACTAGTGTAAAGATAGAAAATATATGATTAAAAAATAAGAAAAAAATTTGAATTTGCGTATAATATTATTTTATTTAAGAATGTGTGGTTGAAATAATGTCAAATCAATATCTAAAAATTTATAAAATCCCCGTTTGGCCCATTCTCCTTCTCATTCTCATTCTTTTTTCTCTTATTTTCAACCACACAATCTTCCATAAAATAATATTACACGCAAATCAAAAAAAAATTCATTCTTTCTCAACCACACATTTTTCAGAAAAATAATTTTCCAACCACTAAAATTTGAAAAATTAATGGGGGCCAAACATGGTCTATTCTAAAGAATGTGGCTCAATCAGAGCCTAGGTAAGTTAAGTGCCGACAATACAATTTTACGACCCGATCTTATCCGTGATTTTTATGATTTGATCTTTAAAGGAACTATAGCCCCGTGATTTGATCTAATGTTGGCTTATCACCTCCACATTTCTTTATTTTTTTTTTATTAGATGTTAAATATTTGTTTAATTCTACAATAGTATATTCCCAATATTCTTTATGGATTTCAATTTTTTTAAAGGAGGAAGACTAATTTAATCTCCACTAAAATTAATACTTTAAGCATTATTTATTTGTTTACGCTTTCATTTTCATGTTTCGAAATATATTAATGGTAATGCTCAAGACGAAGGGAAAATGAGAAAAATAAAATGAAATTCATAAGAGATGAGAATTCGTTCTTAGAAATCTACACTTTTAAAAATCTAAAAATCAGATAGGAATCATACATACTTCCATTTCAAGAGGAAAAAAGAAATATACTTGCTAAGAAAAAGTACCTTATGAAAAAATCCAATATGTAGCTTATCAATCTCACAAATAGTTGCATGGAGGGTTCCATGGAGCAAAATCTGAGCCATCTTCTTTTCCTTCAACTGATTCCAATTCTTTCTTCCTTTTTCTGCTCAAAACTTATTTTGAAATTAAGTTGATAATCAACTCTCTCTCTCTCTCTCTTTCTCTCTCTCAGAGTAGGAATGAATGAAAATGGACTATTTTTATATACAAGAAGTCAGAAACATATCCACAATGTGGTAGGTGGTTTTGGGGTCCCTATTTCATTAGGTACGTAGTACATAGGGTAAACACCATAAGTGATACCTGAATTTTCAACTGCATTTCTTATAGGTATACAAACTTTCAATTTTTCTAAGCCATACTCAAACTTTCGAATATGTTTATCATTTGTTCCTAATTTAATACGGCGTTTCTTATAGGCTAATCAAATTTCAATTTTCCCTAAATCCTACACTTACAAGAACCTATTTGACAGACTTCTGCTTCTTGTAAAAGGGCTTTCAGGACCTGCCAAATGAGCGTTGTTAGAATTTGGGTTTGACTCGAATACTTTGATGAAGATAATTGAGAGTTTTAATTAAAGTGCACATTAAGAAGAATTCTATTTGGAATGCTTTTGAAATTTTATTCGAAATCTATTAGCAAATTCTAGTTGAAGTTCTATTTGAAAGCTCTATTGGGAGTTGAAATTTGTATTGAATTTAAAGATATCAAGATAAGAAAACTTTTGGGCATTCTATTTCATCTCCAACTCTACTTTTAGGGCTTGAATTGTCTCTATAAATATTTAACTCTTCTTCCATATTATGCATTGTTGAAATTGTATTTTTCTCTCGATTGATTGTCAATTAATAAAATTACTCGACTCCTCTACCAGTCACTTCTTGCTTTAATCTTATTTTTACTTGTACGATCAATACGTCATATTGTGCTATACTTACATATACATTCGCAACAAGTGATCTTAGAGTTGTTGGTTGTGATTTTGTTTGAGGGTTTTTGTTATCAATGGCAATCATGAAGTATGAAATTTTACTTTTGGATCGCAATACAAGATTTTCACTGTGGTAAGTGAAAATGCGAGCTATGTTAGCGAAGACGGATTTAGATGGGCGTTGTTGAAATTTGACAAGATGTCCACAACTTGAACAATAGAGGAGAAGCAACGGAAAGATGAGAAGACACTTTCGTAGATTCACCTTCATCTAACTAATAACCTACTGCTTGATTGTGGTTAAAGTTGGAGTAACTGTGCATGACAAAAATTCTGACAAGTAAGTTTCATCTGAATTAGAGGCTAATTCTCATTACATAGTAAAAGGATTATCTTTGGAAGACCATCTGGCCTTGTTCGGGGAGATCGTCGTTGATCTGGAAATGTTAAAGGTAAAATATGATGAAGAGAATTCGATCTTGATCCTGTTGTGTTCACAGCCTGTTTCGTTTTCATCATTTAGAGACACGATTTTGTACAATCGTGACACACTCACCATTAAAGTTGTGAATGATGTTTTTTTTTCCAAGGAGAAGATGAGGCATCTAATTGAAGTTGAGTCCAGAGGTGAAGAAGTTCTTATGGTTTATAGTAATCGATGAAGGGCTAAGTTAAGAGTGAATTTCAACAATCAAATTTGTTTCTATTGCAAGAAGAAATGACATGTTAAAAGAGATTGCGAAAAATTGCAGAATAAAGGTACTTCGAATGCAAATCATGGGAAACAATTAAAACACTTCAAACGAAACCAACATAGTTGAGGACTATTTGAGTGATGGAGATGTCTTGCCAATTTCTGTCGTAGAATCCAAACCTAATGTGGAGTGAATTTTAGATATTGCTTGTGGATTCCATATGTGTTCCTATTGGGACTTGTTTGAAGCATATGAAATGGTGAAAAACACGAACCTTGTCGAGTAATTGGTATTGGCAGGGTCATACTGAAGTTGATGGATGGGACAATTAGAACACTTTGCTAGATTTGACATGTTCCAGATTTGAAGAAGAATCTCATCTTGCTGAGTACCCTTAATTCGAAGAATTATGAGTTCTCAATAGGAGGTGGAGTCTTGAAGGACCGAAAAGGTGTCTATGTCGTATTGGACGGGCAAAAGAGGTCTCGGTTATGTATCTTGCAGGTCTCACAGAATTGATGAAGAATTATCAACACATGTTTAGTACCGTGGTGAATATACAGTTTAGTACTGTTCCTTTGAGAGTTGGCTCTGGTCATTATTAAAGAACACTACTGGACTCAGTTTGGAGGATATGGGTAATTCTGCTTTGCCACCATTGTTTGCAATGCCATCGTGTTCAACTGCAAAGGAATGACCTATTGAGGATAGTTACGAGGATACTAATCTAGTTGCATATGCTTTTTGGGATTTTTGAAGGTGTCGAGACTAGCAAAGGACCTTCAATTAAAGCATTTAGAGTTGATTTTGCTATACGGTGTACTTTAACCCTATTTGGTAAATCTTGAATTCCTTGTGGGAATTTTGAAAACTCAGTGTTTGAATTCGGGTATCATTTGTGGATACGATGGAAGAGGAAGAGTAATTTTTCGTGAGGTAAAAAAGATTTGTTCTAGTTGAAGAGTTTAGTCTGTTTCATTGCAATTGCACTTATTTTTCCAAGTGAAGAAATTTTGGAGTTTTGTTCATTGCACCGAAATTCATGTCAAGGTGGAGATTATTAGAATTTTGGTGTGATTCGAATTCTTTGATAAAAATAATTGAGGTTCTAATTAAAGTGAACATTAAGAGGAATTCTATTTGGAATGTTTTTATAATCTCATTCGAAGTCTATTAAACAAATTCTAGTTGAAGTTCTAATTGGGAGCCCTATTAGGAGTTGGAATTTATGTTGGATTTGAAGAGATCAAGATATGGAAACTTTTGAACATTTTATTTCATCTACAACTCTACTTTTAGGGTTTGAATTGTTCCCCATATATATTTGACTCTTCTCTACAATTTAGATAGGTTGTTTAACCTCATTATAAGTTAAACAAATTATAAACACAACATTCTTGTATTTTTTCTTCATATTAAAATAAAATCTTCATTTTCTACAAATTATTTTATTCTTGTGTTCTTGTGATCCTTACTTTAATAAATGTCTTAATATCTTATATTTTCACAATAAATTGGTATTGAAACTGTTCCACTTTTAATAAAGCGGTTTCAATGAAGAATTCGGGACCTTTCGAACCCTCAAGACTTCATCGCTCTAGATAACGTATACCCTTTTGAATCAAGAGTACTCAACGAAATATAATTCTTCTTCAAATCTGCAATATGTCTAATGTGATAAAGTGTTCTACATGCTCCATCTACCAACTTCAATCTGACTCTACCAATACCAACTACCCAAACAAAGTTCGTTGTTATCGATAACAATGACACCTTGCATCACCATTTTCATATGTTTCAAACAAATCCCGATTGGGACATATATGGAACATATAACCCAATTCCAAAATCCACTCCTCTCGAGTTTAAATTCCACGTCAGAAATCGTCAAGACATCTCCATCACTCAAACAGCCGTCACTATGTTGGTTTCGTCCGAAGTGTTTGATTGATTCCCGTGATTTGCAGCGGAAGTACCTTTATTCTGCAATCTTTCGTAATCTCTCTTAATGTGTTCTTTCTTCTTGTAATAACATCAAACCTGATTGCTGAAACTCGACCTTGACTTACCCTTTCGTCGATCACCATAAACTACAAGACCCTCTTCAACTTTGGACATAGATCCAACCAGATGTTTCATCTTCTCGCTTTAGAACAGGGTATCATATACGTCTTCAATAGTAAGAGTAACACGACTATACAAAATCATGTTTCTAAACAAAATAAATGAAGCGGGCAGTAAACACAATAGGATTAAAGCCAAATCTTGTTCATCATACTTTACCTCTAATGTTTCTAAATCAGCGACGATCTCTTTGAACACAGCCAGATGATTTTCCAAAAATCCTTCTTCTGTCATGCGATGAGAATACAACATCTGCTTCAGATGCAATTTACTCGTCAGATTTTTGGTCATGCACAATTGTTTCAACTTCAACCACAATGAAGGGGCCGTCTTCTCCTTCAAAACGTCCCGAAGAACATTATCCGAGAGATCAAGATGAATCTGTGAAAATGTATTCCGATCTTTTCGTTGTTTCTCTTCTGTGGTTCAAGTTGTGGGCATTTTGTCAAATTTCAATAACGCATCATCCAAATCTATCTACGCCAATAGAACTGGCATATTCACTTGCTACAATGAGAATATTGTACTGCGATCCAAAAGTGAAATTTCATCATAATTGCCATTGATAACAAAAAACCTCAAACAAAACCATAAACAATAGCTCTGATAACACTTGTTAGGAATGGAGAGACAAGTATGGTACAATATGAAGTATATGATCACACAAAAAAAACAAGATTAAAAGCAATAGAGATATTGATAGAGAAATCGAGTAATTTTGTTATTTGACAACCAATTGAGAGGAAAAAAAAACAATTTTAGCAATACATAAATTGGAAGAAGAGTCAAATATATATAGGGACAATCCAAACCCTAGAAATAGAGTTGTGGATGATAATGCCCAAAGTTTTCTTATCTTGACCTCCTTATGTCCAACACAAATTTCAACTCCCAATAGGGCTTTCAAATAGAATTTCAACTAGATTTTGCCAATAGACTTCGATTAGGATTCCAAAAAAAATTCTTTTTAATGTGCACTTTAATTAAAACTCTCAATTATCTTTATCAAAGAATTCGGGTCACAGCTAAATTCTAACAATAAATGGTCTTCCAAAAATCCTCATTCTACCATGTTTATATTGCAAGAAGAAAGCATACATTTCAAATTGTTCATTTGAAAAATGTGAAAACCTAGAGAGATTGCGAAAATTTGCAGAATAAAAGTACTTCGACTGCAAGTCGTGGGAAACAATCAAACACTTCGAACAAGACCAATAGGTCCTAAATATGTTCCCCATCCATTCCTAATTTAACCATTTGTTAACTTAAACAGTATGGTTTTATGTGGGCAATTGACGATGTCAAACCCTTTTAGCAACACGATAAATTGCATTATCTCAAACTCTACAACTTGCAACCTTTGTATCACTTCCCAAATCCTCTTAACAATAATTCTCTAGTATCAATAATTTTCCCTCCAAATCATTCTTCCCAAAATCA